TTTCGTGTGACTGAAATATTGAAATGGATAAATTTTCCGAATGATGTCACAGTTAAATTTCTACTTAGTCTGTATACCGGGGTTGAATAAGACTAACGAAGTTTTCGTTAGTTGAAATAGGTCTATACCCCATATAAAGTAATTTGTTGTTTTTTTTTTTTAGGAGGGGGGTTACTACTATATATATATATATATATATATATATATATATATATATATATATTTACACATATATATGAAGAAAATATCTGGAAAAACAAAACAAAAATCCTTAAAATGCGATTATGTTGTTTTAATATGAATGAAATATCGACGTCTGACGTTTCGGTTTAATAACCTTCTTCAGGACAATATTCATTAAAATACAATTAACATAATCAGTATAATACGACGAAAACGATGGACATAAAAACAAGTCTTATCCAAAACAGATAAATGAAAATTTTAAATGATCAGCTTTTTACGTTTGAAATATAATACGTTGTCGTCAAAATGGGCGACGCTTTCTAAACGTATTCTTAAAATTTTTATTTAATTATTTTTTGATGTTTTTTCATATATATTTTTCTAAAAAACTGTATATATGCTTGTCGAATCTTTCCATCAATTCAAATTTAAAAATTTTAGAATAATGTTCATATATCGCCCATTTTCAATTGCCCCATCTAAAAATAAAAAATAAAGAATTCGATTATATTAATATATTTAATGAATATTGTCCTGAAAAGGTTATTAAACCGAAACGTCAGACGTCGACATTAATGTATATGCGGCTGTGTATATGTGTATGTGTACAAAAACGTTTAAATGATGAATTCGTAATAAGACCCATGTATGTATCGATAGAAGATAAATATATACACCATGCTGACAAAAACATAAGAAAATTGAAATAGAGACAAAAACACACCTGGTCATTAAAATATTCTGAAAGATCTATTTTGTTTTGATCCAATAATTTTAATTGTTTTTAACCCTTACAAATAAACTTTTTTTGAACCATTTCAAGAAAGACATTTGGGTCAATAACACACAAAAAAGAGAATGTCCCATATCGATAATATTTAACATCGAAAAACATGAGAAAAAATTAATTTTTTAATAATAGGTGAAATTTCCATGCTTTTCCTGATGAATGTATAAAGTCCGGAAAAAAACGTGTAGCAAAAATTATGGAAAATAAACCATTGAATATTTTCTAAAAATAAAAAATTACGACTAAAACGTTTTTCATTTTCTCTTTCTTTTTTTTACACACACTTCTCTCGTTGGAACACTATAACCTCTTCCCTTTATATATATATATATATATATATATATATATATATATATATATAAAGTGGTTTTCTAATTTAGGAGATGATTTTTAAAACAAATTTACATTTTTCATAGCCTTGTCCAAATCTTTTGTCATTTCCATATAATCACAACGTTTGGTGCGTTGTACAGAGCGTCGCCCAACTGACAGGACGTTGGAATTTCGAACTGAACCCTTTATTTGGAAAATTCATAAACTTATATTCATCTTTCAATATGCTGATGATTTAAAACTCTGAGCCGACCAAACATAAAATAAATACAATATGGGAACCAGTAATAAGGATTGCCAGAGAAAAGCGATAATAACAACAAAGTTGCAATATGAGCTCTATATAAAAATATGCAATGATAACAGCAAACTTGCAATATGAGCACTGGTAAAATGGTTGCTGAAGACTGTCGGTTTATAATACCCAGAAATTCATTACCCAGATGTCCTCAATGACACATGGCAAAAGGGTTAGATCCATGTGACAGGATCCAAAGAGTGTGAGTTCAATTACCCGGCTTGGCAGTGGAGAACATTCAGGAGATAACTATAGACATCCATTAAACATGGCACGTGGAACTAGAAATTTTCACCCCAGTGAGCGAAATAAAGGTTCACTTTAAATTTTTCCAACCATCTGAAGAAGGCCGAATACATATTAAAGAAACATTGAGATTAATATTAAATTACAAAAAATGAGGACAATAGTCCAATAATGTAAATAATGTATAAAATTTTGTTATATGAAATAACGTCATTTGTTCCTAATGTGATACTCTATGTTCGTCAAATGGAACTTTGTTTCAATCAAATTTAGCCTTCGAAAATCCTTCTTTTTTTTTTTTGAGAAACAGTTATGTGGAAAATGAAGCTATTTATGGCATTGAATGTAACCCGTTTAAAGAAACAGGATAAATGCTGTGAATAAAAATGATATAAAAGGCGGACTGTCGCTAGTTGCGAAAGACATAATTAGTAGCCGGGCATTCTAATTGCAGCCAGAAATGATCGGCGATTTCTTGTTAATCGTGGAACGCGAAAACACCAGCTCAGACGTCAAAGGGCTGCTAATAATTACCGCGCTACGAGCCGAAGCAATTCGGAAGCATTTTCGCGGCGAGATGATAATTTCAAACGGCTTCCTGTTGTTTTCTTGAAGGCGTTTCGCAGCGAGTCGATCGTTCGTTTCTATTAGCGACTGCATCGATGAAATGTCAGAATGTCGACGGCGGCAAGGCGTTCAATGCCTTTCAGACGTCATCGGTCTAAAATAAAGGAAGCTGAATCAGCAAGAAGTGAAATGTAGGTGAAAATACTGTCGAGTCAGCAATGCAACAATGGCGATAAAATTAGCGCACGCCATTTTGTCTATTTCTTTCAAGGTAAATTTATTTTCGGAGCTTCTAAAAGACGCAGAAGATGTTGACTTACCATTGCTAACACAGCAGGAACTAAGGTGTGCTCTTGGCAGCAGACTCACTTATCCGATTGTTTGTACGACCTTTAAAACTGAAAATCCGTACACATGATCGAATCCTTATACCATTTTAAAAGTTTGTTCAAGATACAGGTTTTAATGTCTTCTACGTGAAATTCTATAAGGAATTATTATTAATAAACGGAACTTGTAATACACTATTAAAAATTTTATTATTTATTTATTACTGGTGTTTTATTTATTTATACAGTATTTATTGATACAGGCTCCAGAAACAAAAATGTATATTATTATCAACTGTTTCGCCGATCAAATCACTTCCATTAATCCCTTTTCGTATACTGCGTGTGTAGTATTAATAAAATAGTCCGTATGCGTATTTGTAGGCTGTTTAATATTATCAGAGAGGTAGCACGGTGGAGTAATGGATAGCGGCTCGGATTGAGGAATCAGAGGGCCGAGTTCGAATTCGAGTTGAATCCATTACATTCACTTACATGCTAATAACCTTGTTCTCTCTTGTTCTTGTAACAGCATTCGCCCGAAATGGGTTGAGCCGGCTCCAATATTGAACCTTCAGAAAAGAATTTGATTATTTGTTCTTATTAAAGGTTTTCAAGACCATCCACACTTTTTTTGAAGGGTCGATTATAGAGACCTGATGCACTTTGTGGCACAAGGTCCCCAAACGACCCCAGCCGCAGGTTATGAATTCAGAGTTGCCTCTTCATTAAGAATGCACCAAGGCCATCCAAGGCTTCTAAAAAATATCCCTATACGGAGGGAGAAGAAGAGGATTCACACCTTTCCCAATGGTATTAGCATATAAGTGAATGTAATGGAAAAAATGACTGGAATTCGAACTCGGCTCGCCGGTTTTGAATTCCTCAATCCAAGCGCTATCCATTACTCCACCGTTCCTCCTACCCTTTAAAAGTTTCAAATCCTCTTCTCCCTCCATCTATGGGTAAATTACTCCATTATTGAGTCTATATCCTTTTGAGCAACTGGTCAAAAGAATGACAACTTTTGTTTAAGTCTATATATTCGGCCCTTCAAAGATGTGGTTGGTTAAAGTTCAAATTTTTTCAACACTATAATCAAATCATATACATAGTATCTGGCTGTCGGTTCCTATGAACGGAACTGCTTGACCCTCATACGTCGAATTATACGGAGATCCAACATTTACAGACTTGCGAATGATAAATTGTCGTCGAAATGATGCAAAAATGAAAATAATACTAACATCTCATTTTAACACATATACTACCAAATTGCACAAAATATCTTGAAATATTAAAGAGCAAATTTATTGAATAAAATCACCATTGGCTTCTATCGCGGCCTGCCGACGACTTCGGAATCACCTGCAACTCTTCTGGACGGTCTCCTTGTTTAAGTTGATGAATGCTGGCATAATCATTGTCCGCAGTGCATCTTTGGTGTTACAAGGAGTTTTGTTGGTCTCTCACTCAACTGCACCCTACACATAATCAAGGTGGAGGTAGTCTGGGAAGTAAGGTGGCCAGATATAAGGAATGATGTGGTCACAATAATTGTCTGACAGCCATGACTGGGATCTCCTGCTTGCGTGACATGTTGCAGGGACCTTTTGCCAAACATCGGTTCTTCTAACAGCAATCATTTCGAGCCAGAGCAGCACTACCTTCTCAAGAGACTTTATGTAGGTCTCCGTGGTGAGCCTTGTGGTAAAATGAATGGAGGTATAACGTCACTATCACTAGTGATCCCTCCAAACATCTTCGTAATCACCATTAGACTCACCCAACTCTTTCCGAATCCTTTGCATAGAAACAATCTGAAATGTTCGTATTGGAGCTTCCGGTGCGAATGCCAAGCAGTACAGCATGCGGTTTCCAAATCGACTATACTGTGCAGTTGTCGACATCAAAAACAGACAAACCGCATGCGCGAAATTAAAAATCCCAAGAACAATTCAATAATCGAAGTTTATACTGACTGATTCTTTTTTACGGCTTATGTACCCATCACAGGTTATTAGAAACTATTTTTCGACTGTATTTTTTGTACGGGGGGTGGGGAATAATCATGGTTTAATGATACGAGTCATACTAATTAACCCGTAGCTGGGGTGATATGATGGATTCATACCTTCCACAACGGTATTAGTGCGTACGTGAATATGACGAACACAAAGGGGATTCGAACGCGTCTCTTTAGATTAATAATTCCTAGCAATTATCCATTGCATCACCCGCACAACCAAGCTTACAGGTCCTGGTACTCCAAAGCGGTCACCCATCTCGGCACTGACCAAGCTCGACTTTGCTTAACTTCGGTGATCGAACGGGAATCAACGTCATATAAGTCTGGTAGAGGTTTCATAAATAGGGCGCTTGATATGAACATTAGATGAAGAAGCGGGTACGTTATGAGCGTATGGTGTATAGATAACGATTGACCCAAGACTTAAACAGGCTAAGATGGTAGTGTTGAAAGAAGAATCCACACGGGGGCCGGTTTCGCAAAGGAGCGCTTCTTGGGGAAAAGAGGAGATAAAAAGATTTCAGTAATCTTCATTTAACATAAGGCACAAGAGCCACTCAAGGTAGATGTTTACCGAATGAGCTGTGTGACATTAAAGTAAGGGTAGGTAGGAATAAAGATTTTTTAATTGAATATGGTTTTCATTTTTTTTTCTTTCATCTACTAAAAGAATAGGTTGTTGGGAAAGGGATCTCTTAGCGTAATTTTCTTCTTACCAGTCCCGGGTATGACGATAAACTACATCCAGCAGCAAGGCCTCTGATCGGGAGATTGGAGGTTTTCTGGAGCATGATACCACTTCTTAATAGCTATTGTTCTAATGTACACACTGACCCGGGGTGGTAGTACCTGTTACGGACACACCTGTGGCCAAAGAGTGAACACCCCCACCCAAAAAAAATCAAAACTCTATATATTTAAGTACATATTTATAGTGGAAATACTAGCAATAGACAAATGACCAGCAATTAATTTTTATACCAAAATGACCATCAATACATTTTTGTAGCAAAATGGCCAGCAATACGTTTTTATGGTAACAAAGCGAACACTATATTTTATATTAAGCCATGGCATACATTGTCATAAAAAAAAAACAATTAACTATGATTAATCTTATTTCTTGTAAATTGAAACTCGCTTTTCCTCTTACTCTCATCCTCTATAACCACTTGAGTGCTAGTGGCATTCTCGCCTTGCTTAGGGTGAAATGCCAAAGAAAAAATGCTTTCTATAAAAATAGCGATCAAACAGAGAGAGTCTTGCGACGTATCGTCTGTGAGACGCTTTTGCAGTCTATCGACAGTGGATAACGATGAACTGGGCAGCTCCGTTCCGTAAATGACGACAGTACTCCGTTTATGGCCTGGTCTTGCTCTTGTAAAGGTAGAGTATAGCACGAGGGGTCAGGTACTTATTAGAACTTTACATGGACCCGACCATTTTGTTCTGCGTTTTTGGCGATGGATTGTAAAAATCTTGTTTTCAAGTGGAAACTAAAGCAAAAACACAACCTGCCAATAATTAATCGTTTTGTTTGGCTTAATAGATCCGAGAATGGAATTATATCTCTGGCATGAACAAATATGTCGCATTAAGCGTCTTTTTTTATGACTGTCTCATCGCAGAAATCAAGGGTGCCTAGAGCCTAACTGATTTTCTGTCGTAACTAATTGAACACCTGTCCATTTTTTTTTTTCGATGGTAAGTTCTAACGAGGGCTAACAAACCTGGTACTAATGACAAAGTATTTTTTATCAAATATATTTAAAAGATAACGCAGATTGTTGTCTTCTGTTTCCAATTAAATATACGCTCTCTTTTTTATTTCTACATTATTAGTCCTTATGAATTTTTGTTTTTTTTAGCATTACTTACATAAATTGGTCCACTTGGGGGAAAATCATTTCTAAACCTTTTAATCATTTCAAAAAAGCAAAAAAAAGTAAAGCCACTAAAAACGCAAGTGACGGGGTTAATTTTTTATTTTAGAGAGTATAAGAAAAAACAATATTAAGGAGTGAGAACAATAAAAGAACAAGAATTTTTATTACTTCAAAAATTATTATAATAAATAGATGTCCCATTTTTATTTTTAATTTAAACTGTGTATAAATAATACTCAGACCGATAGATGTAATACACATCGTTTAAAGTTAAAAATAATAATCTAGAGTCTATTTTAAATATGAGTATCCACTATAAGAAGGTTTGAGTAATCGTAATAATAATATTAATAATAATAATAAGTTTTTTTTAAAAAAACTTGCCCATCTTGCTTTTTCTTCTTCCTCACTTTTTTTTATCTTTCTGTAAGCTCTTGCTTTCCCTTCTTCCTCTCAATTTGATATATATATTGGACTCTCCCGTCGGGTTCGACGTATGAGGGTCAAGCAGATCAGTTCCCAGGAAACCGACAGCCCGACACCGGCACATGAGATAGATTTGATTATAGTGGTGAAGGTTTCGTGCAGGACCATCCACTTTTTGAAGGGCCGAATACAGAGACCTGGTGCATCGAATGCCACAAGGTTCCCAAACGACCCTCCGCAGGTTATGAATTCAGAGTTGTCCTTCTCCTAGACCAGTTGCCATCCAAGGCTATAGAACCCAGTCTATCCTGCTATTTACCCAGTCTGTCCTGAGGGAGAAGAAGAGGAATCACACCTTTTCCAAGGGTATTAGCACGTAAGTGAATGTAATGGATTCGACTGGAATTTTACTCGGCTCTCTTTTCCTAAATATATATATATATATATATATATATATATATATATATATATATATATATATATATGCCTATTATTATTATTATTATTATTATTATTAATCGACAAACCTTCTTATAGTAGATGCTTGTATTTGAAATAGACGTCCATTTTTATTTTTAATTTAAACTGTGTATAAGTAATACGCAGACCGATAATAAGTAATACACAGCCCCATAAACGTAATACACACCATTTAAAGTTAAAATAATAATCTAGAGTCTATTTCAAATACGAGTATGCACTATAAGAAGGTTGGAGTAATAATAATAATATATATATATAATGATTTTCCAAGCGTAGCTTAGATGTAATATGGCCGAAAAGTATTGGCAAAAAGTGAGGATCGAACTTTTTCTAATCATATTATAAATGTTCTATATATATATATATATATATATATATATAAAGAGCACTCTATGTTTATTTTCATTAAACAGAGCAAATATTCTTTACAGTTGGAATTAAGTAAAGGTATCTTTCTGAGATTATCATCAGGGTTGCGCCTGGTAAGATAAAAATTATGTGTAGATCTCCATTACTGATTTTTTTCTTTGAGTTTAAATGCAACGTCTGATAATTATGCTTTAGTGTTCATTAGAACATGAAAAGTTATCCATTATGGAATTTTTTTCATTTATACTGAAATATCATGCTTGAGCGCGCATTAAAACGTGAAAACTGTTTATTTTTATAGGCATTTTAGAATATTATTACAGTATTAATAATGTTCTAGTAACAGATGGAAAGTACTTGGGAAATAAAAGTGATTCTCACAGTGACAGTGCATTTCTTGCCCTATTTAATTGTAATATACCGAAAAATATTCGTGAATATGAAAGGATTATGTTAAAAATAAGCAGACATAATGCTTGTAATTTATTTAATCAGACATGCTTAACAGAGAATTTGCTGTCTTTACAATTTAAAACACACACACACACACACACACACACACACACACACACACACACACACACACACATATATATATATATATATATATATATATATATATATATATATATATATATATATATATATATATATATTAACCTTAACGAGTTCTAAAACTGAAAAACGGGCTAGCTAACCGGTTTCGAACTTCGTCAAGCAGAGGTAAATCGAGGTAAATAAAGTAAATTATATCAAAAGAAAAATTGACAAAGTGTATTGGGGGAAAGAAAAGTATTTAAATGGTAATTAGTCGGAGGCCTAAAGCACAGTCTGTCTATTTACATAGAAAGTCTTTAATGATAGAATATACATAACCTCCATATATATATATATATATATATATATATATATATATATATATATATATATATATATAAAAGTACTATCAATACATTTTTGTGGTAAAATTATATATATATATATATATATATATATATACATTAAACACACACACACACACACATATATATATATATATATATATATATATATATATATATGTGTGTGTGTGTGTGTGTGTGTGTGTCTATGTAAAAGTGTGTATATATATATATATATATATATATTTTACCACATAAAATGTATTGCTGGTACTTTTACTATAAAAATGTATTTTTATACTTTCACAGTATTTTGTTTTTGTTTTGGGGTTCACTATTTGCCCATAACTGGGACCCTAGCAGGTACTACCACCCGGGAACAACATCAATTAAGAGGTTTTTCCACGAACATCAACACATCCAATATCCGTATCAGAGGTCTTGCTGGCGAATGTAGTTTTTCGTCATACCTAAGACAATATGTAAAGATTTGGAGGCATGGTGGAGTAATTGTTAGCGGCACGGAGGGTGGAGTTCGAATTCTAATGGAATTCATCACAATCACTTATGTGCTAATAACCTATACCCTAAATAGTAGGAAAGGCTGTGTACTATAATCTTTAGTAGGTGATTAGGAAGAATAGTATGTTAGAGAAGGAAAACTTTGAATTCCAACTGGATCGTATTATCCTAAATGCGGCTGGAGACCGCTTGTGAATCCAAATCCCCACCGAAGCTCTAACTATTAACATGCCCTTTGATGAGGCGTTAAGTGGAGCCGAAATTCCGTCAGCTAACTATATAAAAGTAAAAACAGTCTTGGTAAATGTTCGCTTTTGGAAATCCTCTTGCTTTCCAATCAGCTTTGATCTTCAAGTATTTAAATGCAATGTCAATCGTTATTTTTTGTCTTCTGCTAAGTTCTTTTTATTATGTAATATACCGAAAAATATTCGTGGATATGAAATGATTGTGATAAAAATAAGCAGAAATAATGTTTGTAATTTATTTAACCACACATGCCTACGAGAGAATTTGCTACCTAAATACACAGACATATATATATATATATATATATATATATATATATATATATATATATATATATATATATATATGGTCTGAGCCCTTCCTGTTTGCTTCTGGGTTCTTGATAAGATCCAGAGGCGGATATTCAATATAATTGGCCCTTTTCTGGCATCTAGTCTACAGTCGCTCTGTCACAGACGCGCCGTGGCCTCTCTCTGTCTTTTTTACAAATAT